CGCAGTGCAGGAGGATTACATATAAGCAAGTATGAAAGAGAAAGACGAAGTCCAGAAAAATTGTTATAAACAATTTGACCAAAAGAATACACAAATTAAGATGAGGAATTGCGGGGGTATTACTAATTTAAGCTAAATTTTAGTTACCGAATTTTTTTATCTTTATCTATATATAAATAAATAAATATATAATTATCTCATGTGCTTATCTCCTGTACCTCCATACTAGGTGGGAGGTGGGCTCACATTAAAAGCTCCTCTGAGAGAAATTAAATACGTCACACTAGCTGAAATTCCCCGGGCTCTCCAACCCAACACGCCGGTGGATGTTTTAAAGAGTTCTATCTGTAATACCACATCCCTATACCAGTCTCCCAGGGTCACCTTTCTGAGAGCAAGGAGACCATGAATGGCTTAAAGCATACTGAAACCGTTCAAAACAAGGCAATCGTGTTAACCACTCAGATGTCTGATGCCACTACCGTTCTTGACAGCATGAGTTGCCCTTTCGGACAGTTCGTATATTTTATACATGGGGTACTGGTTTTATACTGGGTTCGTATATTTTATACGAACAGCTGAAATTGCCTGAGTATAATATTAAGTCAGTATGTACGACCCCGGGATGGGCTTAAGTATATGTAATAATTGGAGTAGCTGTAGAGGTATAGCTGACATGGAATTGCGTAATTGTAATAATAACACTGCAGACAGATGTGGCCGTAGATAAACATAATTTTACTACTAGACAATTAATTAATCGATATACATATTTTCATTAACACAGCATCATGGACGCAATATGCCCCCCCCCACAATTTTGGAAGCTTAGCACATCTTCAAACAATGGACGATACAGTATCAAGAGGCGGGATGTTACTTTGATGCAGGCAAGCGTGAAATTGCGTTGTTATCCAATACAGAAGCTTATTTTAAGAGAAAGGTTCGGTTCTGGAAATTTAAAGTTCCAAATTAGTTACGTCATCATGGTTATGTAAAGGATGGAAAGTAAAAATACCATATATGTATGTATGTATATGTATATATGTGTAAGAAAAATAAAGAATATGTAAAAGATTAAATTAGCAACGTAAATTTCCCTTCTCATTTCTAAACATAGTAACCTTCTCTGCACTGCGTTATTTCTAGATTAATCCATGTCATATGACTCTTATATAATTCTAGTAATGTAAATGGAACTAAAACTCAAGCAGCCAATAGTAATTTTACAGGAATATTAACTAGCCAATCAAAATGCATTGAGGACCAAAACTAACTCAGTCTGAATTAAGGTTTCATCCTGAACATTACGCACTTGCTTTCAACGCTCTGGCCTAGCTGCAATGCTATCTGTCTGTTCCTTCTTTCTTACTGCAAATTTATCTAAAATGTAAAACTTTTCTGTACAGGTACAATTAATGTGCCAACTTGTTTGTGGCCGTAACATGTTTGCTGAGTTAAAACATGAATATTTAATCTGCCATCGTGTCCGATTTCCTATTCATTATGGATCAACACTTCTACGCGATCAAAATTTCTGCTAGTCATTATTTCATATATATATATATAATATTTTTGTTGATACGTGGATAGAGCTCAGTAGAGAGTTGGCTAGTTAACTGGAGAAAATTAAACCAATCACTTTTTTAGTCATTACCGAGAAGATTGCACGAGAAATATAGTTTGAAGCTACTGCGTAGTCGATGAAATGATAGATTTGCAGACAGATGTGCCTAGTTCAACATGTAATTAATTAAGATACAATAACACGCCGAACAAGTATTAATTTAGAAGTCAAACAACAAATTGGTGCATGGATGTTGAAACGACAAGTCTTTGACTGAAGAACCACAACTGCCGAAATCACCACCAGCTACAACAGTGGCGACCCAGACAATGTTTCTCAACACAACTGTGCTGAACAGTATTTCCGGCTGGGAATGGTAGGATAATGGATAATGCACTTGTCATAAGGGTCGAATCGTCAGGGAGTGGTTCGAGGAACATTTCAGCGACTTTCAAGTTATGTCTTAGCCTTCCAATTCATCTGACATTAATCCAATAGAGCATTTATTGTCCCATCTGGAAAATCAAATTCGTGCTGCCACGCTCTCCCCTGGCAATGTGGATGAATCGTAGGACTAGTTGGTGAGCACTTAGTAGCAGTTATCTCAGACTACGTATCAGCACCTTGTGGAGTCAATGCCACGCCAGGTGCTGGCAGTTTGAGGGCTAAAGGTAATCTTACATTTATTAACAGGGTGGTCATAATGTAACGGCCCTTCGGTGTATATTTCATCTTTAAGTTAAGCCATTTCTTCTTTAAGTTAAGATTTTTCAAAGTTTGTTTTCACCTTCCTATTTTAAAAACTGATTTCCCCCCCCCTTTCCTATAATGTCATTTGATATCTCCGTTAATAAATTCTTAGCATTGGCAGAATTCTAGTCTCGCCGTTGGAAGGAGACTCGCATAGGTTGTCATTTGACTGAAAAAATAATGTATTCGAAAACAACTGGAAGCTTTTTTATTTCAAGATTTGTAACATTATGCTTTGTTTGCTTGCGAATTTGCATACTTAACGTTCAGCGGTTCTCTGTACTTAAAAGTTTATCAGAAAACATATATTGTTTTAGGAGTAAAAAAAAAAAAAAAAAAAAAAAGATTAAAAAAGTGCATCAAGAAATTAATTCTGATGTTTTATTACTCTGAAATAATAATAAATGAATAATAATAATGAATAATTGCATAGGACGTAACCTTTATTTACACAAGGGTAGTAAGATACAAGTTAATAATTGTCGTTGTCCCCCTAATTTTCAAGTCATGAAATTCATTATTTTAGTGATCATAATTAATATTCTTAGCACTGTTGTATTAATAGAACTATAAAAAGACCTTTAACAGTTAATAATTCTTTATAGATATATGTCATCTGAATCGCAAAACTGGATATGGTGGCAAAATTCAATATTATCGAACAAATGTTTCTTGCTTTTACAAGTTTTTCTTGCCGTTTTTATTTCACAGACACCCTTATTCTCAACACTCTTTCTCTGCCTTTGTTGCTGACCAGTTACGAATTAATATGAAAATCACATTTTATATGAATTACAAAATTAAATATTTATTGTAATATTTTCATATTTTAGGAATTTCAATGATATGTGCAACTGCATTATATGTAATAATAAGAAACTCAACACTAATTTGTTTAGTATTTTCGTCTGCTGGCACATTGTTATTCCGGATGACCAAAAGCTCCATTTCTGTGCCACATTATTTTAACCCGCGGGAAAGCGCGTGGGGTGTATCATATCCCAATCCTATATAAAAGTGTAATATTCCTAACTTGTGAAACTGAAATTCTGTGCTGCTTTCAGTAGCTGAGTTTCTAGTGTGGTGACTTTAGACCGCTTTTCTTGGCTGGTGTTTCAGAAAAATATTTACGTATTGGTTGGAATGGGTAGACACCCCCAGCGCCTGTACCGGTTTTCTGACTGTATAGTTCAAATTTTTCTAGAGGGACGTACATATTTTACTCGAAAGCAATTTTAAAATACTTGACATTAAATTTTAAATTTCCAAATCATTAAGTAAAAGAATGACTTCCTATGAATTGGAAGCAACGCCTGTGAGATTATTAGAATATTGAAAGCGATGAAGATTGCATTTCGGAAATGAAATAAACTACGAATATTTCTACATGTTTTCGTTTCGGAAAAAGATAAAAGATTAAGTATTGATGTTCCTAAAAAAGGAAAACTGTCTTATCTTTAACTTATATAACCTAATACTATTGGAGAACATAAAACGTCAGGAATTATGATTTTCTGCTATGACTAAAGGAGGCGTGGATATGGGGGATGCAATGTCAGCCAATATTCAATGCAGAATAAAAGAGTGGCCATGGTAAATTTCTTTCCTGCATGCATGTTGCTGTATAATGCTTGAATATATTACATTCACTGCTAATCCACCACCAGAAACCAAGTCTTTTGAAGGCATACAATTATGAAAAACTTTGCCAAAGAATCGAGATTAAGTTACAAGAACTGACTTACGCATGCAAAACAAAGCAGAAGTTTGACGAAGAATTAAAAGCAACATCAATTCGAAAAACTTAGTATAAAAGATTGATAAGTTTTTGCCTCGCGCTCAGGACAGAAAATGATGCATGTTAAAATGTGAAAACATTTGTGCAGAACACATTACGTTTTCGTTAAAGTGTGAAGAAAAAAAAGCATTGTGCATTAGAGAATGCAATGAACTTAGAGGCATGATGTTTTATTTTTTATTATTTCATTTATCTTAATGTTACTCTAGAGTATTTGGAAATTATTTTTGAACCAATAGTATTCACGTATTTATAATACGAGAACAAGAAAAACAGCTTTAACGAATAAATAGCTTTATCGTATTTAAATATGGGGATGTGATACCCCACGCGCCCACTCAAGTAACTTTTCTTGGTGCGACTTCCGCCGGATTAAATGAGATAGTTTACTGAAGCAGCATACTTACATTTACTGAAATTGTAAAGATATTCAGCGTGTTGATATTATTAAAGTTATCTCAGTCTTCTAAGTGTGCTTCTGTTTCTAAGATGGATACTACCTTTTTGGAAGTAACAGGTAAATTTCTGTCGCATTCGCTGACAGGTTAAATATTACAAATGTACCATTTATCCGATGCTGGTTCTCCAAATAGTTGTCTGGCTTCTATCGCTTAATCTTTTTTAGTATGCTTCAGGCGCTCAACCCTTTCGGGCATGGGGGTGGCCAAACTGCCATTAGAAAACCGCTATCGAGTCAAGTCAACGCACTCCCAAAATTTCCAACAGAGGACAAGAATTCTCCATGGCATCAAATAGCAACGTTGCATCACGCGGGCGAACTTTTCCCAAAACAGGTTCCTCTGAGCCCTACGTAAACCTGCCAGCTTTCTATTGGTTCGCTTCACTTTCAGGAATCTCACAGCTACCCCCTGCTCCAGAGAGTAGACTGCCTTCAACGCCTCCCCTCGCCATGTAAACAATTCAACCTGTTTCGCCGTTCAAAAGAAGTTCTGTTGCGGAGCTGTGTTTGCTGGTTTGACGCTGAGTCGGTTAGTGCCCTGTGGAATACACCGCTGATGGACTTGCTTTTTTCTATTTGACTGCTTTTGTTTATTTCAAGGATTATCTCGTCTGCTCAGGATGTAAGTACATAAATAGATTTGACTTTTGTTGTATCATCGGTATTGATGTTTGATATCAGCAGACATAAAATACTTTTTGACAGATGTCTGCGCCGGGACATCATTTCGGCTCCTCCTAAGGTCATGTGGGTCGTGCCACATACTTTTGCGGTGTTTATCATTCTCAAAGCTGTCATTTTCGGAGAAAAAAGTGTGGTAATTAAGAGAAATCAGGGATATTATGTCAAGTAATTTTTCAATCAAATCGAAGAACTGTTATATAGTGCGATTTATTTCAAGAACTATTATTTGCTCTTCATTAAGAAACTCAGAAATTAAATATTTAATTTAATTCGCATTGTTTGCAATCACTGGTGACTTAAACCAATTAATCATCTATTGATTTGTTTGATCAATAAGTTTTCAATCAATAAATTTGTTTGATCAAAGGTAAAATAGATGATTATTTTTTTAAGAACAATTTGTGCAATTAGTCCTTAAGTTTCATTAAAAAGCAGTTTTTGTGCAACTTGAATAATACGTGAATTTCGACTGTTTGACTGTTCTTGACTTCTATTAAATAATGTTTAGCATCGTATCAGATATATGATTTTGCTAAACATTCGTGTTCAAACTGGAGTAAATTTAATTCAGTTTTGATGCAAAAGGTAACAAAATTATTCAGAATTTAAAAGTTACAAAATGGATGGAACTAAAATTCTGCAACAGAATCTTAAAAGTTCGAGAATTAAAAACCAGAATATGTAAGAATCGATTACAACCGTATGGGGATAGAATTTTTTAAAATATTCTTAAAATAAATTTAGATTTTGAGAAGGAATTTTTTTGTCTTATTAATTTATCTGCAATATTTCAGTTATTATTTTATAGTCTTCATACATTTTTATTATAAATTATTTGTATAGTGCTCAAAAATTAATAATGTAAACTTTTACAGGAGTCCAGCTGTTGATGCATATTTCATTTTTGAACATTTAAGAAATTGCAATAATATTATAATAAGCTTATAATAATAAATGTTTTTATGATGTGTGATCTATTTTATTCATCTTTATTAACATTGTGAAGTCTAAATAAATACATGATTGTAACAAAGCTTAATTTTATAGATATTGTCATTTATTATTGCTTCTAATGATAAGCTTTAAATGTGTGATTAAATGGATTAAAAAATTTTTGCATTTGATTGCTAATTAAAAATCTGAATTCTCTTAGATCGTATATGAGCAAAATAAATACGATGTTAAACTGGAGGAAGTTCATGGAAACTTGGAGACAAAACTTTTGGTAAAACTTTGGTTTATGTAATCATATATTCACCAGTCATTTTTTTAAATCTGCTTTATATAGGATATTAAATTTTAAGTAGGAAATTATAGAATTCCTGATTTAAATATTTTGACTATTTCAATAATTAATTATTTCCCCCATAAAATACTAACTTTTGTTTACACATTTCGAAAATTTTTGTTTTTCCCAAATACCATTTTACCAAAAATTAATTCTTTTTATTTATTTATTTATTTATTTTCCTTAAACATAAAATTTTTCAGATAAAGTTTCATTCAAATACATTTTGGTTTAAATACTTAGGTTTTTAAGAATTCAATTTTGGAATTTAAACTAAATTGTTAATAAGCTATTTCCTTACCATTAAGAAATCTTCCATTAAAACACATAGTATATTTTAGTGCAACAATGTGTGTACGGTCCATTTAAAGAGGGAGGCCTTGTGTAAAGTGTTTATTTGAGAGGTCTTAATGCCCATTTTTTTTTTCATTTACATGATGTATAAACAAGGTTTCGAGAATACTGCAGGATAAGATGGTGGCTCCCTAAAATCTGATTCGGGGTTCATGATTGTAACAAAGCTTAATTTTATAGATATTGTCATTTATTATTGCTTCTAATGCTAAGCTTCGACCTTTGCTTCGGAAAATAAGCGATAATCAAACCTTCATTTAATGAAGAACAGAAGTACTTTTAGTTTTTCATTAAATGCAACTCTTCAGGGTTTATTGCTTGGCCTTTAAAATATATTCTCAAACTCTTTGTCCTGGCAGAATGTCTGAAATCTTTCGTAGATTGTATGGAATCTTTGAATAAAAGCATTGTATCTACAACTAATATAACAGTACAATCAATAAATAAACTGTATGATAATTCAACAATCACTGGCAATGCCATTTTGATTGAAGATTTTCTTAAAGCCATTTTTTATTCAACATATTTATTTCTTTTTTGCAAAGGATCACCATTGTATTCATTTGTTCATTTTGAATCAAATGAGAAAAGAATTTACTCAGTTACAGCATATAATACTACGATCTTGTTTTTCCTTGTCTAGAACTCAGCTCAAAAATCTATCTTCGCGAACGCATATTTTCGACTGCAACGCCTCAGATCATATAAAAATTCCGATACATGTCACCAATTTTTGTAACACATAGTTTTAAGCTTTTTTTTTTAATGACTTAGATTACGGAATTTTTTTAAAAAATTAATAAGACAACTATAAAATAATGTAATTTAAAATATTTTTTATAAAAAAGTGTACAACTCCATAATATATTAATTCACAAAATATGGGGGTTTAATGGAATCCATTCTAAATATCAGTTTTCTAGATATATACGAAGTAATCTTGTAATCTTGAATGAACTGCTGTTGTTGCGTGTTTTGACGCTTTTTAAGTATTAAAAATCATGAGGAAGAAAGAAAATAAATTTAATTCTTGCAGTTTAAACAAAAGTTAAAAGACATCAAAGTATGCTATCAAGGTCGTACCCTTGATTATCAATGTAGATAAGTTTAGGGGATGGTCCCTTTCTTTTAAATGCCCTACCCATTGCTGAAATAGAAGTTTCAGCACTAGTTGCAATACTGACACCTTTTTACTCACCTCTTCAATGAAAGAAGCACATTGTTCAATTATCTCTTTTTCCTATGGAGTGTCACATAAGATGGTCTTAGGATGTTTCTATTTTTAGCTACGCCATTCGAAAGGAGATAAAAGGCATTCAGCTAGTGAAATTGCTCTAGGATTTGTAATACAGTGAAACCTCTCTCGGTGAACACTAGTGAACGCTACTAGTATTTCCTAGAATGTAATAAGTTTACTAAATATCATTGATACGCATGTTTTCTAAGACGATCACGACAGAAGACCAAAATTGTCTCGAATAAAGGTAATCCCCTTAAGAAGGTTTAATTACTAAGAAGGTTATTCTTTCTGTCCATAACATTCTGTGAATCAAGGTCATCTTAAAGTATACTCACCTTACAGGCTATTTTTTTTAAATCCTTCATTTAGCACAACTAAATTCAGGGCTCAATTATGAAAGTCTGAAATCCGAAGCACAGTTTATTTCAGGATCACAAGCATCCATTTTCCTTGTTTCCGTGAGAGAGAAATCAAAGTTATGAGACATTTGTTTAGGGGCCTTCTTAAAAATCGGGGATCATAGGATCTGGTCTCGTGGGCTATTAGGTCCTGACTAATTCCACAAAATAACGCAACTAAATGTCGTTCCAAGAAAATGATCGATCGCGTACGTTTGTAAATACCATCGTGTTTCAAAATTGAATTCAGCAACATTATACATATTTTAATATACATATTTTATTCAGATTGACAATTGAGTGAAAATGAGAGAACAAAACACTTAAAAGTTGTTTTGTCGTTCATTTTTATATACCATATGTCGTTTATTTTACCATCGAGTTTTTAAATTAAAAATAATTGCCTACGTTGAAAGTCCGATAACATTCTACTAAGACCCAAAGTTTCTTAACGCTCGGTGACTTCTTAAATTATAATTTGGCTTTGTTGGAGGAGGTCTTTTTTAAATATCAGAACTTTTAATACAAAAAAAATTATTTGTGTATTATTAATAAATAATTTATTAAAAAATATATAGAGACACTATTAGACTGAAGACGGCACGATTATAAATCCTATAGAGTATTTATACAAAATTCTTTCTCATTAGTGTTACTCCTTTTTACTGAATTTCTTTAAAATCTTAGTAATCCTCTGCAAAAAAATAAAATAAAATAAAAAAAATCTTTATTACTTTCAATAAAAATCCAGCATCTCATCATAAGCTGTCTATCAATTATCTAGTTCAACGTTCTGTACCTTTCCATGCCTTGCAGATTCACAATGAATTTAACTCGGTCAGTTTGTTACGCTACAGTATTTATTTCACACGATAATGGCTTCTCCGCTAGACTGATGTGTTATGCTTGCATTAACTCTATGCAAGAAAGGGGGGGGGATTCAGCTTTCACGTAATGCATGAAAGTCAAGGACATATGTGAATCATCCGTATTCTCTTTTTTGACTCCCCCTTTTTTCCCCTTTCCGAACCTGCTGAATTTGTAATAATTTTCTTTTCATTTAAAGGAAAATTATACTCTTACATAAAAGGTGAAAAATATACTTTTACTCCAGATTTATAAATTTGGATCTCGATGAAAATGTTATATGTTTGGGATTGATTTTGAATGATTTAACCAGAAACAGATTCTCCTCTTATATGCTTCTGATTTAGGAAAGAAAGAGCTTGTTCAAATGCAGTGGTCTTCGAAATGGTTGACAAGGAGAATCTCTAAATATTAAAGAACCTTGCTCTAAAACTATCTGCTTCTGTGGAATTCTTAAAACTTTAACGTTTTGAAATTCCTAATTTTTTTTAATCCCTGCTGCGCAGGAAAATTAATGTCATAGAATTATTGAAAATATAGTAATGCGTATACTTCGTATGGAAAACGAAAAGAAAATCGCAGTGTATTACAGTTTTACTCAAAATAGATTTTCTTCATATTATTTTAAGTAACAAGAAAAACAGAAATAAAAAGTGTGATTGAATTAAATATTTTAGATGATTAATTTTGTAGGTCATACGGTTTTCAAAAATTCTTTTGAATTTGATTTTGACTTGCAGAACGTCTAGAGAAGCATCTAGAACACTAGAGGAACTCCAAGGTTCCGTGCT